ATGGCGGCATGTACAGTGGTAATAAGGGGTAAGGCATTGCCCGATCGTCCCGTCCGTTGATGGGCAATAAAAAGCTTACCTGAAAAAAGGAACCCCGACCTTCATGGTCGGGGTTCCGGGGGTTAGCGCGAATGGCTGCTATTTTTGAATCAGCACCTTGTTGCTGTACAATATTTTATTATTGTCGCGTATCAGGTATAGATAGGTGCCGGCACTGAATTCCCGCACATCTACCTTGATTACTGTATTATTCGTTACGTCTCTGCGGGCCACTTCACGGCCATTCAGATCCACAACAGATAATGTCAGGTTTGGATAGTCGTCTTTACCAAATCCGATTTTAAAATCGATATGGTCGGAAGCAGGATTCGGCGCAGCCGTTACCTTGATATTATCGTCGTTCGGCCCAAATACCTTTTCCATTGCTGCGTCTGTATTTTCCTTGCCAGGCTTAGAGGTGGTTACAACAGCCCAGCCACAACTGCAGGATCTGGTGCTCCAGGCTGATGTCATACCACCCGGGCAAATAGCTCTTACTCTCCAGGAGTAGCAGCCCAGGCCAGATGATGGAATATAAGTGTTTGTAGTTGACGTTGCCACCATACCCAGTATTATTGACGGGGACGCAGCGCAGCAGCTTGGGTCATCTATTACCAGCTCAATCTCATAGCTCAGTGCGCCCGGTACGGCAGTCCAGCTTAATTGTCTTTGGATCACGTACATACCCGGATTCGTAATGTCCGGCACAAAAACTATCTGGCATTGCTGGCCGGTAGGCGTGGTGCAGGTGGGCCTGGTGGGACAATAACACACGGATGTAGAAAATGCAGACACCGCGCTGTCGGGGCATACAGAAGCTACCTGCCATGAATAGCAGGCTGCAATGCTAGCCGGCAGGGTAATAGTGGTGTCATAGACGTTCATCTCTATCAGGCCGGGAGGATTGATCTCAGAGCAGCCGCAGCGTGTATCATTGATATTGAGCTTTAACTTGTAATAAGCGGCATTGGGCACCCGGTTCCAGAAGAGCACTTTGTTGCCCGACTCATTCCAGCAGCCGGGATTTGCCGGTACGGTTGGCCTGCAACAATAAAACTCAAAAGTATCCTTGTACACACATTTCGAAACCGGGTCGACCACCGTTACATAGACAGGCATCTGGAAAGGGTACCCGACGATGGAGTCGGCGGTAGACGTAATGTAGCCGCCATATTCCCAGGAGAAAGTATAACCCGCAGCCGAGGTCATTATCGTGCCGCTTTTGTTCTTTACCTTAAAAGTAATAGCCCGTTGCTGGTTTTGAATATTGCAGGGGTCCCAGGACAGAATGGGGACAATAGTAGCAGTATCATTACAGCAGAATTTCTGGAACGTATCGCGCCACACACAGCTGCCGTCCAGGCTGGTTACGGTAACGACCGTCTTCTGGTTGGGAAGCAGTAAGGTGGATGAAGTGGTATTACCGGGATCATGGCTCCAGGAAATAGAGTAGTCGGAAGTAGGCACTAAACTGCCGTATTCATCAATCACATAGATCGTAAACGGATCGTTCGGCGCGCTGCACACATCACAACATGCCGGGCTGGTGCTACCTCCGCCACGGAATTGGCAACAATCCTGTATCATGAATTTAGGACAGCAGGAGCCTGCGCAGATATCATCCACATAAGCATAACCGAAGTGGGCACCGCCACCGCAGTCGGCCGTAAAAAA